TTAGGGTTGTGACTTGTGACTATCATTGTTAAAAACAACGTTCTATTCTTCCAATGTCGTATCTGCTGCACTACATATCAACGTTTCTTTGGCAAATTTTTGTGACTCCTATTTTGTACATCCCTATTCTTCCTATGTCATCTGACAATTCACAATTCTTGATGTTCTAAGAATGACTTGATGATTTTAGTTACGCTTTCCTTTGTTGAATTGAGTTTAACAGGTTCAACGGGTTCAACTGACAAGTTTGTTCAGAGTTGTGACGTGGTCCAGAAGTTGTAAAACTGTATTCCAGAATTGCCGGCCATTCTTTTCTTTTTGCAAGATCTGCATGATGGAACTATTGGTTTGGATTTCTCCCTCCAATGCAAGTTCAACACATAGAGGAAAACAAATAAAAATATCGCATTTGCTATATCATTGTTTCGGTATTGTATTTCTCTTAGACATTACCAATAAAAAAAACTTTTAGCGTTCATCCTCTATGATGTAATTCTTATGTAACTTTGAAGCTATCTGGTTTACAGTTAATTGTAACTTGTTTGAAGTTTTCCTATTGAATTAGACTTGGTAATTGGATTTTTTTTGTCTTTAACATTATCTGTCCATAATTTTTTTTGACCACCGTGTTTCCTATCTCCTTTAGCCAGACATTGCCATATGATGCTTGGCTACATGAACACTGATTCTGTTAGCTTTATTGGGAGAAAGCCTTGCTTTGGGCTTTTGTTACCTTTTCGTATAGAAACTATGTGACTGAACAAATGTAGGGATGCTATTGTGCATGAATTTTGGCTGCGTTTTGAATTGGAATTGCCAATATCCAAAGCCCCTTAGGCTAAAATTTGATGTTTGGGAACAATTTTAGAAACTCCCATCAAGCAAAAGTGAGCCTTGTGATGGTTGAAAGCCCAAGGCAAGTCCTAGGTTGCCTTGGGCTTTCAGCTTTTTCGTCATGCAAGTCTCTGGGTAAGTAAAAACAAATTTCTTTCGAAACTACCCTCATTTATTTTTTGATTTTCCGGTTTTGGCCTCGTCTGTCACTGTTCATCATCTTCTTCACTTACACCTCGGCCGGCGTGGCTGTGAGGGGACGGTGACCGGCCGGAGGGGTCCGACATGGTCGCGCAACCCAGCAACCGTCGCCTGGGCTTGCACAACCGCCGCGAGGGGCCACGCGACCCAGATTTGGCCCCGCGAGGCCGTCGTCTGAGGTCGAACGACCTCAGGCAGCCCCCGGTGACCGCCAACGAGGGCCACTTGGGGTCAAGCGACGGGGTCGCACGACCGCCTGAGGTGGTGCTACCCAGACGACCCTCAAGGGCCGCCGACGACCTAGATCTGGCGCCGCGCGGCCATCGTCTGAGGTCGAATGACCTTAGGCAGCCCCCGGCGACCGCCGACGAGGGCCGCGTGTGGCGCTAGATCTGGGTCGCCGGCGGCCGCCTGCCCTTCGCCGGCTCCGGCGAAGGGTTTCAACTTTTCTTTAATAAAAAAATAAAAAAAGTGCTTTGCAAATATAATTTTTCCAAATGCTATTTTATTCAAAGTTGTTTTGTAATGAACTTTTAAGTTACAACTTACCAAACACAATTTGCATTTTGGAAAACTCCTTCAACTTAAAGGCTCAGTTAGTTTGGCGGAAAATATTCTCCTTTTGGAAAATATTTTCCCGGAAGTCATTTTCTTGGAAATGTTTTCCCGGAACATAATTTTCCGGTGTTCGGTGATCAATATGAAAAAGTTTCGAAAAATATTTTTCGCCGAGCGCGGCGGCGGCCGGCGACGAGCGGCGACGGGCGGCGGCGCGGCGACGGGCGGCGGCCGGCGACGGGCGGCGGGCGGCGACCGCGGCGACCGGGCGGTAGGCGGCGCGCGGCGGCGACCGGCGGCAGCGGCGGGCCGCCGGCGGCGACCGGCGGCCGCCGGCGGCGACCGGCGGCGGCCGGCAACCTTAGTGAAGAAGAAGAAGAAGAAGCTCCGGAAAATGATTTCCGTTTTTGAAGAAGTGGAAGTCATTTTCCATAGACTTAGGCTATTTTGTGAGGGGGGAAGGAAAATATTTTCCCACGGAAAACGTTTTCCGCCCCCCGAACACCGGAAAACCCGGAAAATATTTTCCGGAAGAATATTTTCCGTCAAACGAACGGAGCCTAGAGTTCTTTGCATTTTCCCAAAGACTTTCCCCTAAAGTGTTCCCAAACGCAATCTTTAAGGTTGTTTAACTTTCTTCTCTCTGTCAGGAAAGCCAACAGTTAGTGAAAGTGCCGAATTGATATTTTTTTTTCCTTTCTTTTTTCAACCCACTAAGCTTACTGCTTACAAATTTGAAGCCAATATGATAATAATACTTAAGCAAAGTCCAACAATCAACCTTTCTCAATCTTTGGCTGTTGACTGTACAAACATTTATTTTCTACATAAGTATTTATCTGTGTAAATATTTAAAAAGACTAAGCACGTATCACAAACAATAACCTTGGCCTCCTACGCATATTTGTCCATAGTTGTAGATAAAGTCCCAACGCTCTAACGCTGAGACATGCATAATTGTTGTTACAAACATGAAACATGAAACATGAATACCCTATAGAGAATAAAAAATAAGTTCCAGCTGCGCATACACACTTGTTTTTGTGTGCTTTGATTGAATCTCATATAGCGATATTTCACTTGCATGCAAGTCCTAGCAAATATAGGAAATAATTGTGTGCAAACTTGTCAAGATCAAGCCTGGATCTTGGATTGTTATGTAATTGACATTCTCATTCCCAGAGATGATGAAGACAACGAATGTCAAAGTGTGAATATGCAATAGTGTCCTCTCTCTGTCGAGGAAATAACAGCTTGTGGAACCAACATGAAGCAAATAAGATCATTTTTCCTCAAAAAGCAGAAGTCCAGATCTGAATGGTCAAGGAAGACCAGTAATAGTCGACATTACTTTCTTAATCGTTTAGATCAGTTTAATTCAGAATCTATTTAAATATATGAGAATGGAAACAGGCGAGCTCAATAGCGATAATGGAGCTACACATTTGCACGAGTATATTTCATTTTGGCTAAGTTTGATTGTTGATTTAAACATGCGCAAAAACAAAAGCTCCTCTTGTTCCTTACAACATCCACATGTATTTAGTTTATTTGTGGAGGCCATCTTTATCGACTGGCGAAACGATGTCTATAGTATCTCTCAGTCTGGTGCAGCATCACTTCCAAAAGGGCCGAAAGCAAAATCTTCCTCTTCAGGGGCTTTATGTTTATCTAGTCAATGACCTCCACTGATCTCTCCATAAGAGTCAATCATCCGTTCTTTTTTTCAGTTTGTTTTGGCTTGGAAGTAGGCAATTGAATGAATAGAGAACTCAGACTAAATTTTTTTACTTATTTGAAAAAATTGGTTGGTCGGGTCTCCTGGAATACCTGAGTAAGAAATCGCGTTAGCTCACGGCAGCTCTCGTCCCATCGCCTCATTATCTAGTGGGGGCAGGAGCCCTTAAAGTGGCTCCAATAGAATCATCTTTTATAAGATTCAAAATCAAGACCACGCTTCCCATGGCGTGTTAAACCAACTCGGTAACCACTCATTGCTAGGTCTAAAATTTGAAGGCTCTTAGCTGGGAGAATGTTCTAATTATATCATCTATAATGTGATCCCACATTCAGTTTATTATTGCCCACATTAATTAATTTCGTCAACGTTTATTGAGCGCATTCAAATACGTGATAACTATGATCGCCCAATATTAAGATAACTATCTTGATGGAAAAAGTTATTTATAAGGATATGAATTGAGATATAAATAGGTCATCTAAGCCAAACCCTCTCATAATCTTAAGATCGATCTCTCATTCATTTATCTAAGATATCGGAAAACACACCATCGACGTTGAGAGGATAATTGGCTAGAAGCACCTATCGATAATCGTCAAGGCTCCGCGTATTAGGTTCTTGTTCTCATCAATGGCTGGATGTTAGTACAGAATTTTCCACGTTTCCGCACTCAATTCTGATTATGCATGGTTACTGTTTATACGTGAATAATCAAAATCTTTAGTCTTCCGCTATAGTTAAATTTCTAACAGATAATTCAATTAAGCTTAAAGCATCCCTGCTCAAGTTAGTCCAATCTTAATGCAATTTATGCGGGCTTATTACTACTAAATGATAATGCTTATAATATGTAAATTAATAATATTTTTATTTAAGGGTCGGAATCAACTCCTAATTTTCCATGCAATGAATGATTGAAAGGGGTTGTCAAAATTTAGTTGTCAACCTCAGTGGAATCGCGAAGGGAGGGGGTTTATAATATTACAGGGAAAGATGATCCAATATCATTAGTCCCTTTGTTACCAAGTAGTACATACCCTGGTCCGAATCAAGCTTTCCGTGCCTCGCGTGTTGTGTGGCACCCAGATCGAACTTCTTCTTCTGTTGCTAAGGCCACTCGCAATTTTTGTGGACCGAAAAGTGCTTGAGATGCCGATTCGACCGTCATAATGCTGGGTTTGGCTAGTCTATCCATCAACACATTTCATAATGCAAATGGGTGAACCACGTCCCTCGAAACTGCTGAGTTATGACTAACTACTGTACCGTTAGATTCTTCACATTTCAAACACTTGTTCTTGAGAGAGCATGGGTCTAAAACTTTCCCTTAGCCCCGACCCCTCTTTCCTCTTTCACTTATTTGCTCTGCATGATTGATGCTTTTTAAAATTTTCAAGGTTGTGTAGATAGTTTTAATTTTTGTAGAACTACGGTAAGAATCAGAAGCAGAAGAGGCCAACAACAAAGGACTCATTTATTCTCATAGATTTCACAAAGATGACAATTTCGATACTCGATACTCACTGAACATTCATTGAAATCCCAAACAACATTACCTATTTAATGACATACAGCTAACTAATTCCACCCAAACAAACTGTCTGCAAATTTATTCTTGAACAGATTCATCCCTCGATATGCATCAACCAGACAATTACGTGCATCATCAGTTCACTGTTATACCATGTATCTGAAGGTTGTCGAGACACTTCGGCCTCCTGTACTTCTTCAGCAAGAGTGAAGAGCAGACGACACTGACCGATGACGCGGCCATCGCTGCCCCCGCGACCCAGGGAGGCAGGCGGAACCCCGTGGAAGGGAAGAGAGCCCCGGCAGCAATCGGGATTCCCAAGACATTGTAGCCCAGTGCCCAGACGTAGTTCATCCGGATCCTGGAGAGCGTCTTCCTAGAGAGGTCGATCGCAGCTATAACGTCCTCCAAGTTGCTCTTCATGAGCACGATGTCTGCCGCCTCTATGGCGATGTCCGTGCGAGCACCAATTGCCATCCCCACGTCCGCGGCCACGAGTGCTGGTGAGTCGTTGATGCCATCTCCCACCATCGCTACAATGTATCTCGAAGCCTGTGAATATGAAAGATTGGGGTTCAAAGCTAACAATATTACTCTCCATGCCTGCTTGGAAAAATATTCCAAGTTACTTTATTGAATTCTTCCTTTATGGGATTAAATAGAATGTTCAGCGACCTGCAAATCCTTCACTTTCTCTGCCTTCTGCCCAGGCTTGGCCTCCGCAATCACAGTGTCGATGCCGACGTCTTTGGCTATGGAATTTGCAGTCCCCCAATTATCGCCGGTCACCATGATGCTCTTCACTTTCATCGACTTCAGGATCGATATCACCTCATGAGCGCCCGGTTTCAGAGGGTCTGAAATCGCGATGACTCCCATCAGTTCCCGGTCTACGGACACCAATATCCCGGTCTGCGCCATCTCTTCGGTCTCAGCCAGGATCTCTTCGGTTTCGATAGGAATGGCAATGTTGTGCTCTAACATTAGGCCCTTATTTCCCACAATTATCTCCTTGTTACAAACCACAGCTTTCACTCCGTGACCAGGGATCGAGATGAAGTCGAGGGCTTTAGGCCAGGCAGGATTCTCCTCATCATCCCTGAACTTTTTGGCATACTCGATGACGGCCTTGGCCAATGGATGTTCGCTATTCACCTAATACACATCCGTTACTTTGAGGGGTCTTTGACAGCTCAGTTAACACAAAACGGCCTTCGAGAAAAAGAGAACCGAAAAAATGGGAGGGTCATACCTCTGTTGCAGCAACCAATTCATAGAAGTCTCTCAGCACCACGTTTTTTAGGAGTCTCGTATTGACCACCTCGGGCTTTCCGACCGTGAGCGTCCCTGTCTTGTCGAACACTATGCAATTAACCTGCCATTTCGAGGAAGAAGAAACGTAAAGAAAAGGGTTTGAGAGGTAAATTGCCTCAAAAGACAATAGACACTACAAAAAAACATGATTATTGCGACGGAAATTTGCGAAGGATTATTTTCGTCGCTAATTTGCGACGGAAAGTTGCTCGCTAGTTCCGTCGCAAATTTGCGACGGATTTATTTTCCGTCGCGACGGCAGTAGCGACGAATATTTTATCCATCGCAATTTGCGACGGATTTTGCGACGAAAAAGGGTTCGTCGCTAATTTGTGACGGAAAATTAATTTTTTGATATGCACCCCACCCCACCCGTCAATTTCTCTCTCTCTCAGTAGTGATTCGTCAGGTCGCCCGCTTTTCTCTCACCTTCTCCTTCTATCATTTCTCTCAATAATCCGTGCGTCCAGAAATCAATCTCGGTGAAGCTTTTCCACCGGTAAGTATCGTAGCTAATTTCGTGACTAAACATGCAACTAATATGATCCTGTCCTTCTGATTCATCGTTGGATGCGAATTTTTTTTTATTGACATTTTTTTCTGTTTTTGTTGTACCGGCGATCGGCCACCAATTTGCGACGGACGGTCTTTGTCCGTCGCAAATTTGTGACAGACACACCTGGGCAAGGTGCCGGTCGACCCCGCCGCCATGGCGGCCTCCTCGACCCATGGCCGGCTGGGCGACGGCGAGGTCGACCCGCAGCCCTGGCGAGGCCGCTCGGCCTCCCCCAGATCTGGGTGAGGCCGAGCGACCTCGCCGGGGCCGCCGGTCGACCTCGTCGTTGCCCAGTTGGGCGACGGCGAGGTCGACCGGCGGCCATGGCCAGGCCACTCGGCCTCGCCCAGATCAGCCGGACCGGCGGCCTCGCTGACGCCAGCCGGTCGCCGGACCGGCGAACGGAGAAAATTGTAAGAATTTTTTTTTTTAAATTCAGAAAAAATAAAAAATTATTTAAAATTGAATGTTAAGTGATTTTGCTTTTATTTAGGTACGTGTCTAATTGAAGGTCTCGCAATCCAAGTGAACTTTGCAATTCTCTTCAAATTGACCACTTTCTGCTACCAAGATTTCAGTCAAATATCTGGGCAAGTCTTCTTTACATGGTAATTTTTTCATTTTTTAAAATTTCAAAGTAATTGTTGCGTGAAAAAAAAAATTTTAATTTTCATAATTTTTTTTAATTAACAACAGTAGATATGATATTTTAAATATTTTACAAGATTTTTTTATTTTAATACAGACACAATGCAAAGAAACAGGACTTGGATGTATAATAAGAACTTACCTGGACGTCAAGGATTGACCGATGAGTTTCTTACTGGGTTGGAACTATTTTTAGACTTTGCTAGTAGTAAATATGAGTTCATGGATGGAAATAAGTTAAGGTGTCCGTGTGGAAAGTGCAGTAATGGTAAATTTCATGTGCGTGATACAGTTGGAGAACATCTTTGTAAATTTAGGTTTACTCCGAATTATTATAATTGGACTTGCCATGGTGAACCATTTATATCTGATGAAGGATATCGAAGAAGTGACCAATTTTTAGTTAGGGAAGAATGTAGCTATTATGACCAATTGAACCCATACGAGAGGATGGTGATTGATGCAGCTAGTCAGAATTTTGTTTCAGATTCGAACTATGCAAGTACTAGTTTTACTCCTACACATGAACAAGTGGGTACTAGTCATGCATCACAAATGGAAGATATAGGAGTAACGGGTTTTGATGAGAATGTGTGTAATGGAGCTTTTTCATCTAATCAGTTCTGGGAAGTGTTGAAAGCAGCAGATGAACAACAACCATACTAAGTTATTAGTGACAGCAAGACTGTTAAATATCAAAGCAGAGCATAATGTGTCGCAAGATTGCTTCAACTCTTTTGTTGAAGTAATGCGGGAAACAATGCCTCGTGATAACAGCATGCCAAGTGATTGTTACGATATGAAAAAGCTAGTGGATAATTTAGGTCTTCCGGTTGTAAGGATTGATGTATATAGTAGGGGTTGTATGTTATATTGGAGAGATGATGAAAATGCAGAATCTTGCAAATTCTGTAGCCAACCTAGGTACAAGATTAACAGGAGGCAGGGTTGTAATCAGAAGCGTAGACCATGCAAGCAAATGTTTTATCTGCCCTTAATCCCCATATTGCAAAGGCTTTATGCGTCTCAAGCCACAGCTGAACACATGACTTGGCACGCAAATCATGAAACAGAAGAGGATCTAATATGTCATCCTTCAGATGTAGAGGCATGGAAGCATTTTGATAGAACGTACCCTGAGTTTGCGATAGAGCCTCAAAACATCAGGTTAGGTCTCTGTGCTGATGGATTTGCCCCATTTGGGAAATCAGAAAAAAGTTATTCATGTTGGTCAGTTATCTTAACGCCGTACAATCTTCCACCTGGTATGTGCATGAAGACACCTTATATGTTTTTGACATTGATCGTGCCTAGCCCGCAAAATCCGAAAAAGTTAATAGATATTTATATGCAACCATTGATTGAAGAGTTACAACGGCTATGGGAGGAAGGTGTCCTTACATATGATGTTTCTACCGATCAAACATTTGTAATGAATGTTGCTCTTCTTTGGACGATAAATGACTTTCCAGCTTACGGAATATTATCTGGATGGAGTACAGTTGGGATCTTAGGATGTTCGATATGTTTGGAGAGATCAAAGTCATTTAGATTAAAACATGGAAAGAAGCCCAGCTATTTTGACTGTCACAGACAATTTTTACCGATAAATCATACATTCAGAAGGAATAAAAAAGAGTTCATGAAGAATAGGACTGAAAGAACACGTCCACCATTGAGGTTGACCGGCGATCAAATTTGGGAGCGGGTGCAGGACTTTCCAATTGTTGTTCAGAACCCTCACGACACGACTTTTGCGTACGGAAGCACACATAAGTGGACAAAACGCAATATATTTTGGAATCTACCATATTGGAAGGCCCATCTTATTCATCATAATCTTGACGTCATGCACATAGAAAAGAATGTTTTCGACAATGTCATAAATACTGTGATGGATGTCACCGGAAAAACAAAAGACAACTTGAATGCAAGAAAAGATACGAGAGATATTTGTGATCGACCAACACTAAATGTGGATGCAAGCAGCAGGGGACCAAAACCAAAAACAGTTTATACATTGGATAAGGAGCAGAGGCGAGTTGTTCGTCAATGGTTGAAATCTGTGCGGTTTCCTGATGGATATGCTTCGAACCTCGGAAGATGTGTTGATTTGAATGAATGCAAGTTGACAGGTTTGAAGAGTCATGATTGTCACATATTGATGGAAAGACTAATTCCAATAGCTTTCAAGGAAGTTCTACCGAATTTTGTTTGGGGCTCCATTACAGAGTTAAGCAATTTCCTACATGATATTTGTTCGATAGTGTTAAAAGCATCGCACATGGACAAACTAGAGAGAGATATTCCAATTATTCTTTGCAACTTAGAAAGGATATTTCCTCCATCATTTTTTGATTCGATGGAGCATCTCTTAGTTCACTTGCCTTTTGAGGCCAAAGTTGCAGGTCCCGTATAATTTCAATGAATGTATCCATTTGAGAGGTAAATTTTTTTTTTAAATAAAGTTCAAATTACTTTATTATATATTATGTTCCGATAAACTTCTTTCTATTGCAACTAGATTCTTATATCATTTGAAGAAAAAAGTGAAGAATAAGGCACGTGTTGAAGCTTCAATTTATAATGCATATATTGTGGAAGAAGTGACAACATTTGCATCATATTATTTTGAGCCGCACGTACAGTGCAAGAGGCGGAGAGCAGGCAGAAATGATGAGGGCCCCATTGATCCCAATTGCAAAGCATTCTCTATTTTCAATTATCTGGGTCGACCAAGCGGCGCATGTCGGTCTCGTTACTTAACAGCGAAGAATTGCATGCAGCCCATACATATATTTTTTATCAACCGCCCGAAGTCGAGCCATACTTCGAGTAAGTGTAAATTTGCAAATATATGTATTGTGTGTCAAATATTTGCTAATATATAAATGGTATTTATTACTAGGATTTTCCAAACTTCAATGTATGGACTACCACAAAATGAGTTTGATCGTATGTGCGACGAACAATTTGCAGCATGGTTCAAAACATATGTAAGTTGCCTATGGACCGTTCACTTGCCTTATTAAAATTTTATACATCATTTATTGAAATATATATTATTGACTTTGCGTGTGTAACCTTAGGTTCACAATAATCATGATGAACTTGGAGAGCAAGGATTGCTATATTATCTGTCATGGGGTCCACAGTTAAGAGTGCGGAGTTGGCCAGCATATTTCATAAATGGATATAATTTTCACACTAAAAAATATGGAATGGGAAAAGCCACAATGAATAGTGGTGTATCTGTTCGGTCATCCAATGGTGACAGTTCAAAAGATGATTTTTATGGATTGTTGGATGAAATCATAGAGATAGAGTACCCTGGACCATTAATGATGCAGGTTGTGTTATTTAAGTGCAAGTGGTTCGACCCCGTCAAAGGAATGAAGGTGCATACGAAGTTTAATTTGGTTGAAATAAATCACAAGAAAATGTATATGAAATATGAACCATTTGTCTTGGCACAACAAGCAATTCAAGTATGTTATGCATCATATCCTAGTTTGAAACGTGATAAAGCTGATTGGTAGGCTGTATGTAAAATCAAAGCACGGAGAAAAATCGAGGAACACTGGAAGGATAGAGCCTATCAACAAGAGGAAGTTTGTAATACGGTTGAAACTGAGGAATATAACATTCCAACTTTACGAGATCCATGTGGAGCTATGATAGATGTGGATCCAACAGAAATTTGCGAATTAAATGTACAAGACTGTTCAGAATCTGATTTTGAGACATATGATGAAGACGAAGAGCAAGACGAAGACGAATTGGAAGATGAAGACGAAGACGAAGATGCAGACGAAGACGCAGACGAAGATTAAAATTTTTGTGACAAAACACTAATGATGTGTAATTATTATTGCGACAAGTGTTATTTTGGTTGTCATAATAATAATTATTATTCTTGTTATTATTGTTATTGTTATTAACATTATTGTTGTTGTTATTACTATTGTTGTCGCTTATTCTTCTTAATTTAATTGATCGTCGGAAAATTTGTCGATAAATGACGACAAGTCAAATATTATTCGTGCGATGACATTTGCGATATTATATTTTCCATTGGATTTGGATCGTCGCTCATTTTACGACAACAACTTATTCGTGGTTACTGTACATCGAAGAATTATTGACGGACCAAAAAATTCACGGCAATTGTTCGAATCCGTCGCAAAATTTGCGATGGATTCGAAAATGTCCTTTATTTTTGGAATCCGAAATAAATCCGTCGGAAATTTGCGACGGAAAAATATTGTCTGTCGCAAAATTGTGGATGGGAAAAAAGTCCGTCGCAAATTTGCGACGGACACAACAAAGTCAGTCGCAAATTTGCGACGGACCAACATAATGTCCGTCGCAAATTTGCGACGGACACAACAAAGTCCATCGCAAATTTGGGACGGGAAAAAATTCCCGACGGAAATTTGCGACGGACAAAAAAGTCCGTTGCAAATTTGCGACCAACATAATGTCCGTCGCAAATTTGCGACGGACACAACAAAGTCCGTGGCAAA